AACAGTCGCGCTATAACAAACGTCTCACGTGCTCGAGTTCAATTACACACTCTCTGACTGCAGTTCAATTACTCATTACACTGTTGTCCCGTCACGTTGTGAACGTCTTATATATACAAGACTAACACATACCTAGTAAATGCTAGGGCATTCTTGAAGAAACAGGGTATTTCTAGAAAGGGGTGGCGTGATAATAGTCACGTGACCTTGCTTACGCAACATATGTTTACACGCAGGGCCATCATAATACTAAAGTTTTAGTCCTGCAACTTCTGGAGCCATCCTGCTGTCTGGCCTTCTGGAATGCACAAATCCACCAGCTACTTCAATGCTGCATGATCTGTTTGTATTGTAAAATTTTGTCCATATAGCTAATGGTGGAAGTTACTCAGAGCTCAAACAACACTTGTTAGCTCTTTCTGAGGTGTACAATACCTTCTTTCTGTAGCATTCGTTGCACTGATATAGTAAGTAATCACGTTATTTTCCGCGTTCTATTTGTGAAACACTGTTCCCACTGTTAAATCACTGACATCTAATAGGAGTGGCTATTCAAGGGTTTGATATGCTAATAAGAAGTAGTGGTTAATTCTTTCTTAATTTTGTTGAATGCTTATTCACAATCAATAGTCTAATGAAACTTATTTGATTTTTCAAGTACGTTGTGTAGAGGACAAGCTATTTCAGATAATGATTAAAAAACGACAGTAAAAGCATAGTTCAAGAAACCTTGCTACCTCATGCAAGTTCTTTGGTTTTGGATAATTCTGAGTATATTCAATCTTAGATGGACCTGTGTACACTCATTTTCTGCTATGTGTTCCAGGAAATTCACACTTCTTCGGATTGTAGTTAAAGTTCTCTTTCCTTAGCCAATCCAAAGCTTTCCTTAGCTCATTATAAGTTTAATCAAATTTCATTCTATGTGTAGTTATATCACCAAAATAAAAGAGTACAACATTATATGGTAGTTCAGAGAGAGTACACACTGTATTACTTACTGAAACGTAGTGCATTGTATAATCCCAATGATAATACAAAAAACTGCTAAAATCCATTTCCTGAAGTAAAAAAGCTGTCTTTCTCTACTTTCTTTGTTGACTTGCATTTCTTAATATTCATTCTTCAGGTTCAATAGTGAATGTTTTTGAATCACATAAAGCAACCAAAATATAGTCAGTCCTTGGCAAAGGGTAAGCACCATTCTTTGTGACTTCATCACCCCTAGGTAATCTACACAGAATCTTGCAGATCCATCCTCCTTCACAAGTATGATATGTGATGCCCAAGTTATAGTAACCTGTTCTATTACTCTATACTCCTTCATGACTTGTATTTATTTTAAAGCCTCAGGCTGTTTTCTGAATGGGAGCCATCTGGCTGACAATTTGAGGATAAATTTTATTAGATATTTAATTTGTTTGACCGAGGCATGAGGTCAGTTGGAGAAGGTATCTTGATATTTCATGAGCAATTCATGTAATATATATCACTGATCAGCTTTAAGACCTCCTCAACTCTAGTTATACAGCTCTTTAAGTGAGGTGGTCAGCTGTTCTTATGTGAGAATTTGACCTCACACTTCCTAAAACCCCCCAGTGGCACAGCGGTATGTCAGCGGACTTACAATGCTAGAATCCGGGTTTCGATACCCGTGGTGGGTAGAGCACAGATAGCCCATTGTGTAGCTTCGTGTTTAATTACAAACAAACAAACACTTCCTAAATCTGGGCATGTACTGTAAAGTTATTTGAAAGTAGCCTAAATTCAAATCAGTTGCATGAAGCCAATTTCCCTTAAGTATTCTTCCTTAATGTAAATTATCCAAACACAATAAGATGCATAGAAGTTTCCACAGTAAAAGTGGCCTGGCATGGCCAGGTGGTTAGTGTGCTTGACTCACATTGTGAGGGTGGTGGGTTCGAGTCCCTGTCACACCAAAGATGCTCGTCTTTTCAGCTATGGGGTGTTATAATGTGACGGTCAATCTCACTAGCCATTGGTAAAAGAGTAGCCCAAGAGTTGGCGGTGGGTGGTGATGAGTAGCTGCCTTTCCTCTAGTCTTTCACTGAAAATTAGGGATGGCTAACGCAGATAGCCTTCATGTACCTTTGCGCGAAATTCAAAACAAACAAACATAGTAAAAGTTGGAAGCAACTTTCATCTTTCTGAAATCTTATGCTCACTTCCTGTTTATATCAATCCATTTTCTTTCTCCATCTCTGAATACGATTTCCCACTTTTCATTAATAAAGTGAATCAAACAATTGTTGCAATAGAACCAGTGTCGAACAACATACTGCAAGGCTTCCCATTAATAGACCCATAGTCTTAAATAGCGAGCTTCTTAGCTCATTTTGGCACAGATGGAGTTTTCTTCAACTACCTTTACTCTATAAGTCTAATGGAATTCCTAATTATCCAACGTTTGGTTAGCACTTTATTGTTCCACTTACTTGGTTGGACTTTTAGACTCATCCTTTGTTCTCCTGAAGAAGAATAGTCAACTATTCAAAAGCGCTCGAGTTTTGGGTCTTATTTTAAGTCTATTTCAATCTGGTTTGATTTTTATAGAGCATAAGAGTCAGAATGTACAACATACGTACCAAAACATTGTAAAACACTTCAACTATGTTAGAACTAAGTTATTACAATTACAGGCAAAAAGGAAAAGAAACATTATACTTGTAAATATTAAATCACTTTATGGCGTAGTATTCTGACGCATGAAAATTGAAAAGCCTGAGGTATAAATAATAATTAAAGTTATCACAACTTAAACACTTAATCGTGTAATTCGACACATTTATAAGCGAAAATACACAAAAACCAACTAGTTAATATGTAAACCAGGATTATTCAAAATTCGATGATTTCTCTGAAATTGTTTTTACAAGTACCCCCTCTAGGAAAAATACTGAAAGTTACCTATCTGCCTTACTTTGAAACCTCGAGAGTATAGCGGTATATTCGAAGTGTCGTGTATAAACCTAAATAAAAGACCAAAGGCCTAGCGCGATGTTTTTTTGTTTTTTTATTATTAAAATCGAATATTTTGGCATTATGCTAAGTTTGACAGATACCTAATAGTTTAAAATGCTTCGCAGATTAGCACCGAGTCAGCTTGCCAAGAGAAAGTTGGAAGGTGACAAAGATGATGGAAAGTTAAGTTTTCAAGCAGTTAAGTTTAAAAGGAATAGAGTTTCTTTATATGATTCACATACAAAATGTATTGATTTTTCTAAGCAGAGTAACGAAATTGATATTAGAAAGCCGTTACAAACTGTAACAAATATATTATTATGTAGTGACCATGCTGCACATGAGGAACTTATAAGAAAAATATTATCAAAACCTTTTAAAATTCCAATACCAAATTATAAAGGAGGAAGCTTAATTGGCCGATCCTTGGGTGTTAAGCGTAGTGGTTCTAGAAGAGCACTACATGATCCAGATGAAGAAGGAGCACTTATTCTTTACACTCCTCCTACTCTTAGTGTTCATGATCAGTTGAAAGTCAATATTGAACAGCTGCCTGTACATGTTGTTGTTGATCCATTACTCAGCAAAGTCCTTCGACCCCATCAAAGAGAGGGGGTTAAATTCATGTGGGATTGTGTTACAGGAAAACAAATTCCTGACAGTTATGGTTGCATTATGGCTGATGAAATGGGACTTGGAAAAACTTTGCAGTGCATTACTCTTGTGTGGACGCTTTTGAGACAGAGTCCAGATGCCAAACCTACTATTGAAAAAGCCATTATTGTTGCTCCAAGTAGCCTTGTAAAAAACTGGTACAATGAAATAAAGAAATGGCTCGGAATGCGTATAGATGCACTTGCTATTGACTCTGGGACAAAAAGTGAAATTGATAAAAATCTGAAAAGTTTTATGAACACACATGGACGTCGTCCAGTAAATCCCATACTTATTATATCATATGAAACATTTCGGCTTCATGCAGAAGTACTCCATAGGAGTGAAGTGGGCTTGGTAATATGTGATGAAGGTCATAGACTCAAGAATTCTGATAATCAAACATATCATGCTTTAAACAAATTAAATGCTAAACGACGTGTATTGTTATCAGGTACTCCTATCCAAAATGACTTGTTGGAATATTTTAGTCTGTTACATTTTGTTAATCAAGGTATTTTAGGGACTGCTCATGAATTCAAAAGAAAATATGAGACTCCAATTTTACGTGGACGTGATGCAGCTGCCACAGATAAGGATCATGAAAAAGGAAAAGAGAAACTAGAAGAACTCATTTCCATTGTAAATCGTTGCATGATTAGACGTACTGCAACCATCTTGTCAAAATATCTTCCAGTAAAAGTAGAACAGGTTATTTGTTGCTCACTTACTCCTCTGCAGAAATCTATTTATTCTCACATTGTCCATTCTAAAACTATTTCTGAAGTAGCTAATGAAAACACAAAAGTAAGTGCTTCATTATCATTGATTACAACTTTGAAGAAGCTCTGCAATCATCCAAGTCTGATCTATGAACAATGTCAACAAAGGGTAAAGGATCTTGAAGGCTGTCTGAATCTTTTTCCTGTTGGTTATGATTTTAAAAAGCTACTTCCTGAACTTTCTGGTAAAATGTCAGTCTTAGATTGTACTCTTGCTGTAATAAAATCCACAACAACTGACAAAGTAGTATTAGTCTCAAATTACACCCAGACTCTTGACTTGTTTGAAAAACTTTGTAGACATAGAAACTATCAGTATGTACGACTTGATGGGAGCATGTCTATTAAGAAAAGAGCCAAAGTAGTTGAACAATTTAATAATCCTCAAAGTCCTGAATTTATTTTTATGTTAAGTAGCAAAGCAGGGGGATGTGGTCTGAATCTTATTGGTGCCAATAGATTAGTTATGTTTGATCCTGACTGGAATCCAGCCAATGATGGTCAAGCAATGGCTCGAGTTTGGCGAGATGGACAAAAGAAACAGTGCTTTATTTATCGCCTTTTGACCACTGGAACTATTGAAGAAAAAATTTTTCAAAGACAAACACACAAAAAAGCACTAAGTAGTTGTGTTGTTGACAATGAAGAAGATGTTCAGCGTCACTTCAGTCTAGCTGAGTTGAGAGAACTGTTCAGGCTAGAAGAAAATACAGTAAGTGACACTCACGACAAGCTTAAGTGTAAAAGATGTGTAAATAGCATCCAAGTTAAGCCACCCCCAGATGATGCAGATTGCACAAGTGACCTTTCTCTGTGGCATCACTGTCCAGATAAAAAGGGGTTAGTTGATGTTGTATTAAAGCGATGTTGGGAAGCTGGAGTAACTTTCACCTTCCATCAAAAATCTCACGAACAAAGACTTACTCCATAATGTACTAGTGGCCTGTCATTTTTTGAAAAGTACTAAATGCTGAAGTGTGTAATTTTGGTTATGTAAATGTGAATTCTTCCTTATTGTTACAGTGTTTCAGAAGAAGGTGGCGACAAAAACTTTACAAGTAACATGTAAAGTTGAAGTGATAGCAGATAGCTGGATCATGAGTACATCATTATTAATTTGTATTGTTTGTAATTCAAGTGAATCTTAAGAAATTAGTTTGAAAGTAAGTAGAATATATTGTCAGTACTGAAATAGCAACTTAGAATAACATTGTCACTAGCTTAGGAATGTGAAAAGTATAATGGCATTCATCTATGTCTAATTGGATAAATGAATACTTGAACAAAAAATGTAGAAAAACTAAAGCTTGTGAACTTCAAGTGTTTGTTATTACTAATAACTGCATTGAGGTATGCATGTAGGTTAACAGAAAATTTAATTTACTGTACAGCAGCATCTTAAAAAAATGATATATTGATTTTCAGTTACACTTTTCATAGATTTAAGCACATTAAAATTGTGTATTTTTGTAGTTATATGATCTTCATACGCTATGTAGTTTGAAAGTTATAATTGTTAAAACAAGTGTACTTAACAATTCCTGACTATTTTTCAAACTTGTATTTTCTATATATATATAATGCATGTAAGTAAATTATTTTTCTTCATTTTTGACTTCTGCCTTTATATCAAGTTAGAATTTCATATTTTACAAATTTGTCATGAATATAACTCTTCATATAACTATTTTATTGACATTTAGTAAGCTGCAGGACCAAATCCTCTAACTTCATATAGTTTGAGTGTGTAAAAACAGTAATGACAAAACCTAATCTCAGACAGATCAGTATGGTATGATTTGTTTACATGAAACTGAAAGACTTAGTTTATATTGGACAATAAGATTTCTCATTATCTTTGCCAAGTTTGTTTTCAATATATAAGGTTTTCACAGTTATTGTTTCTTCAGTTGTAAATTACATTTTCAATTCAGTCAAAGCTACAAGTACAAGCCAACTGTAGTTACTACACCTTATAAAACCAGACCATAGATAAAAGTACAAGCCAACTGTGGTTACTACACCCTATAAAACTCAGTCAAAGGTACAAGTACAAGCCAACTGTGTTTACTACACCTTATAAAACCAAACCATAGATACAAGTACAAGCCAACTGTGGTTACTACACCTTATAAAACCAGACCATAGATACAAGTACAAACCAACTGTGGTTACTACACCTTATAAAACCAGACCATAGATACAAGTATAAGCCGACTGTGGTTACTACACTTTATAAACCAGACCATAGATACAAGTACAAGCCAATTGTGGTTACTACACCTTATAAAACCAGGCCATAGTTACAAGTACAAGGCAACTGTGGTTACTACATCTTATAAAACCAGGCCATAGATACAAGTACAAGCCAACTGTGGTTACTACATCTTATAAAACTCAATCAAAGCTACAAGTACAAGCCAACTGTGGTTACTACATCTTATAAAACTCAGTCAAAGCTACAAGTACAAGCCAACTGTGGTTACTACATCTTATAAAACTCGGTCAAAGCTACAAGTACAAGCCAACTGTGGTTACTACACCTTATAAAACTAGGTCAAAGGTAAAAGCATACACTGATTATTACAAAGTTTCAAGTTTTTAATTCTCCTGTGTGTTATTTTCAGTTATCAGTTTGCATTTACAATGAAAACAACAAACAGCTTAAATGTTTTTTTTATTTTACCCGACGTTTTGACTTGCGCCTTTTTCAAGGTTCTATGAGCTTTGCAGGCTACAAAACTGATTTCAAAGTATTGTAATAACTGAAAAGAATATAAAACTATATTAGAACAGTGCATGGTGAAACATGCTAAAAGTATTGTTGAACAGATTATAGCTGCTGATCATAAATGTTAAAAATGAAACAATAGTAGTTTTATAAGACTTGACTTATTTTCACGTGTCGAGGGCGATGGAGCAGAGAGCCAGCTGTGCACCGGTTCCCTCTCTGTGTTTGAAGTGTACTTGAAGGTAGTCTTAAAATGTGTTTATACTGCTCACAGGAACTGCTTTTTTTTTTGTTCCATTCATCCACTATAAGAGGAAAAGAACTTCCTTAGATCCAATCTGGAGCTGTGCTTGTATATTTTATACTGATGGCCTCTATTTCTGGAATTATTAACTATAGAGAAATCTGCAATATTTAATCTTTCAAGGTAATTACACATTTTAAAGACCTCAATTAAGTAACACCTTAAATGATGGGTTTCAAGTGTAGTGAGGTGTAATTTCTGTAATCACAAGAGAGATTATGATAATCTGTTACTGTCTTGGAAATCTCCTTTGAATTTGTTCAAATAGATCTACATACTTTTTAAAAATATGGACATCACACTTATATACAATATTCTAGGTGAGGTCTGATAAGTGATTTGTACAATTTGAGAATCACATTACATTCCTTATTTTGAATGGTTCCCTTAATTTTATCTAAAACCTGATTTGCAGCTTTAGCACAATGTTTGCTAACACCAAGAAACTTGTGGATAATCACTCTAAGGTTTTTTTCTTCATTAACAGATTCAACTAGATTGTTGCCTGGAAAACAGTCATATTGTTCATTGTTGAAACCCAAATGTAAACAAGCACACTTTTCTGGATTAAAAAGCATCTGCCACTCAATTGACTACTTAAACATATTCCAAAGGTCTTTTTGTAGACAAACTGAATCAGCTACAGTTGCTATTCTATGGTAGACTTTGGTATAATCTGCTCATTTTGAGAGCCTAATACAGATGTATTCATCAATGTCATTAATATAAATGATAAAAGGTTAGGCTATGCACAGACCATTGAAGTACCCCACTTTTAATAGAAACCCACTCATATGCTGTGGCATTTATAATAATTCGCTGTTGACGATTATCTAACCATTTTTGGATCCAATTTAACACTTGTGAAAATATTCCATTTACATAAAGCTTAAGTAATCTGACATAGGGAACCTTATTGAAAGCTTTATAAAAGTCAAGATAAATTATAACAACCGGGTAACCTTCATCAATGTATCAACTCACTTCTTCTAGGTAAGTAAGTAATTGATTAAACATGATCTTCCGCTGATAAAACCACTTTGTGTGTGACTCATGAGGTTAAAAGTTTCTAAATGATGATAGATTCAAGAATTTTACTTATTTGACTTGTCAAGCTAACAGGTCTATAATCTGAATGTAGTTTTCTTCAGCCCTTCTTGAAAAAGAGTGAAACATTAACATTTTTCCAAACCAGTGGGATCTCAGATGAGTCCATATTTGCTCTGAAAATTTCACTAAGATGATAACTAATTTCATGTGTCACTTCCGTAAGAACTGAAGAGAATAGCTCTTCAGTACCCGGTGCTTTACCAGGTTTCAAATTACAGAGCTTTTTTTTTTGACAATCTCTGGTTATTGATCTACATTTTTCAACTCTTTCTCCAATGAACCAGTAAAATTACATGGATTTGGCATATTATCAAGAAAATATAGAGCTAAAGCATTCGTTTAAAATATCAGCTGTGTAGTGCTATCTGTGACCACATGCCCATCACTATCGACGATTGGGCCCACTCATTCCTTGGTTTTAAATTTAGAGTTAACATATCTGTAAATAGACTTAGGGTACTTCTATATATTTTCAGACAGTTTTCTTTCAAACTGTTTCGTGGTTCGTTGTAGTTCATTAGTGGCATTAAGTTGACGTGTGTACTGAACAGAATCTAGATGCTCATTGAAGTCACTATACCTCTTCCAAAGATGTTTCTTCCTTCTGGCGACCTCATACTTTCTGTTAGCCCATAACGGTTTGCGTCTCCTATATTTAGACATTTTGGGAGTCACAATAGCTTCATTCATAATGGCTTTAAAAACATTGAATTTGTCCTCGACAGAAAGGCCCATAAGGCAATGTATCCCACTGAAAAATTGTGCATTCTCGCGTAGTCACTATTAATGTAGTCATAGAAAGTAGTTTGTCCACTCTTTTAATTTCCACTGAACAATTAATGTCAAATAATATAATATTGTTTGCGCTGAAGGGTTCGCCGCGAACTGTTAAATTGTCGACCAAATTGGGAGTACTAGTTAAAACAAGGTCTAAAATGTTATTACCTCTTGTAGGTTCAGTAACATGTTGTATGAGAAAAAGATCCTGATTTAAAACCAAATAGCGTTTACCTTCCGCACCAGACTTATCCCAGTTGATAGTTCTGTGGTTGAAATCACTGATGATTACTACACAGCGTGTTCCACAAGTAAATAGACACCACCTTTTCAGAAAAAAATGAAACTTTTCAGTCATATTCACATGAATTGATATATTTATAATTTAATTAATAGCTAGTAGATCTTCCTTTCGCTTCGTGTAGTTCGTTGATCCTTTGGAGCATCGTGAAAAT